TGGGTCTCCAAACTTTATAAAGGGCCAGTTTACTGTCCTTCAGACTTTATTGGGGCTCGACTGTGGCCATTGGGAGTGGAAATTGTCCTGGTGACAGTGGGAGAAATAGCGCTGTCATTGTTGGTGTCAGTTGCCGGAAATAGCGCCCTATCATTGGTGTCAATGGGAAAAATAGTGCCCCATTGTTGATGTCAGCAGCAGGAATTATACCCCATTGATGGTATCAGTGAGAACTGCAAATAATTCAAGAGTACTGAAATTAAATATACCTGTATTGTATCCATAAAGGGAACATCAATTTTCTTTTAACATTTCTGGAGAAATGTGATTGACATGTATGTATGAACATAAGAATATTTAATCAAGAGCGGTTTAATGTATGCATATGGAGGCTAATATTTGTTCATTATATACGCAAACTGCACCTGGTAGATCAGGATACAGTTAAAGGAAGGTGTTAATCAAAATAGATATAGGATACATAAAGACAGTTGTCTCCTAAAATACAAAATGGAAATTGGCAAATACTAAAAGGTGTAGTGCAACTAAAAACTATATTAACCACTTCCCGACCGGCCGTTGTATATAAACGGCCGGACGGTGGCAGTAGAGGGTCAGGTGGCCGTTTATGAACGGCCTCCCCGCACCCTGCTTGTGCGCGCTCCCTGGGAGCACGCAGCACCGCGATCCGGTGCCCGCTGTGTCCTCCGGACACAGTGAAACACCGATCGTCGGATGGGACCTCTGTACGAGGTCCCGATCATGTGATCACTGATTGGCCAATCAGTGATCACATGCAAAGTAGTAAGCAAGATGTCACTTGTGACATCATTGCTTACTATGTGTGAGGTCACATGGTACAAGGCTATTCACAACAGCCTTGTACCATGTGACCAATCACAGCTCACTCAGTATTTCTCAATGAGTGCAGGAATGCACACAGAGAGAAAGATAAATGATTGCTTTTACATCCTATATGGGTATAAAAGCAATCAGTGTAAAAAAAAAAAAAAAAAAATCAATTCATCACCCCCCACAAGTAGTAGTGTCACCATGGTGACACTGTACTGCTAGGGTGACAGTATGTAAAAAAAATAAAAATAAATAAAAAATATAAAAAAATAAAATGTAAAAAAAAATGTTTAAAAATTATAATTTTTGGTTATAAACTAATTTGGTTTTTTTTGTTTTTTTTTGCTAAAAAGATAACGGAATACATTTTGGCAAAGATGTATGCTGAAATATTTATTTGCAAAATTTTAAAAAAAAAAAAAAAAAAAAAAAAAAACACTTTTGTTCAAAATATTTGGACTTTTTCATTACATAGCAAAAAAAATAAAAATCCCAGCGGTGAATAAATACCACCAAAATAAAGCTTTATCGGTTTCAAAAAAATGGTAAAAAATTAATTTGGGTACAGTGTTGCATGACCGCGCAATTGTCATTCAAAGTGTGATAGCGCTGAAAGCTGAAAATTGCCCTGGTCAGGAAGGGGGTAAAAGTGTCCGGTCTGGAAGTGGTTAAGAATGAGCAGCTGACTGTAGTGTAACAAGCCTTGTATCAAGATGATTTAACCTATTTGCTGAACCTTACAAAAGTCATTATCTCAGTGACACATGGTTTTCCCCTCTGTGAGTTTATATCTATAAACCTTCAAAGTAGGCTTCAAGTAGAACGATAGGCAAAAATTTTCCGCCCATTTTGGATAGGGTAAGGAAGTCTTATGACCCTGTCAGTTTGTTTTGCCATCTGGTTCCCATGCCAGAGATTTTCTCTTCACTTCCTGTCCCATAGCCAAACAGGAAGTGAGAAGAAATCCCTGTATAAGGAATTTCTTTGGGGCCTCCAGGTCAACAGAATTAGTGTCCCCACTGGAAGATTTCTCCTCCATTACTTTTCTGGGGACAAACCAAAATTTGGAATTTTCTTTTACTTTCAATGATCACAGTAAACATGAAAGATAGAGGGGGTAAATCTCCCCAATGGTGGCACAGGCAGCAATAAAAACCTGACAGGGGCTCTAATATCTCCCCACTCCGTCCAAAACAAAACAAATTTATATATATACATTTGCCTTTAGTTATACTTTCAGTTATTTGGACGATCTAACGTTTGCACATAACTAAACTGGTGTACAAAAAAAAACCCTGACATTTCTAGTAGAGCAATCATACATGGACAAGAAAGTCGGATTTTTAATGCACCACACAAATTGCAGTTTCTTCAAAAATACAACAGTTTATTTCAGTAACCATTAAAAACTGCTAATGGTATATAAAAAGCCTATAAAAACATGGGGTCTCATTTTACATCAGCATTACAGCTCTATAGTAAGCCTCCCCTCATTGTCACTGCTTAGCTCCCATAACACGTAAGGATTACAGTTCTTGTTACGTAAAAGCTAAGAGTTTATCTAGGTGCTGATTCTATAGTAACATGGACCGGGCTTGACTGAGCCCACCTTGCAGACGACCAACATACATGCGTGTCGCCACTTCACATGTTATAAGGGGTTGATGCCTGCAACTGCAAGCAACAATCTAGTATTTTTTTATAATGTGCAAATGATTCTCTATATTGTAGAAGCGATCTGAGCAGCTAATTAGCCGCTGGATCGCTTTTACAGGTGTTGGGAAGGGTTGTCATCTCTCACATCAAGAAAGTTGACCACCACTGCTTTAAATGGCTGAATTTTAATGCCAAGTTTGAAAAGTTTACAGTGTAAAGTGAACGCATTCCAATTATTATGGATTATTTTTTTTATATTACCAGAGATACTGTGTAACTCTGTCTTGCTTGTCCAGGAATTGCCAGTCACAGTTCAGGCTTGTTCACACTTGACTAATTTCTAACTCTTCTCAAACGCCCCTATAACATTTGACAGGTGTTTGAGGAGCTTTAAAAACACCTCCCAAACGCCTAACGCTCCCCAAAACGCTCTAGGAGCGTTTTGGAGGCATTTGATAGGCGTTTTCCAAGCGTTAACACCGCACCACAAACGCCTATAATAAAGTAAATGGTATTAACGCCCTGCAAACGCCTGCCAGGCATTTGAGGAGAGTCACCATAGACTTGAATGGGAGGCATTGAAAGGCTTCAACTCCTACCGACTCGACATGAGGCATCAATTTTGCCACGAAGCTAACGCTTCAGTGTGAACAGCACTGTGTGCTGCCATGTGTATAATTTTCATAGGCGTTTGAGGAGCGTTAAAACCTGCCTCAAACGCCTGCCTACAAAGCTAGTGTGTGAACTTGGCCTTAGTGTGGCCTGGAGAAGGTCTTCAGGATTACACCGATTAAGATGCACAGATTTTACTGTGATACTGGAAGCCAGTGAGGCATTAATTGAAGAATCCAAAGAGGATAGTACCGTAATGAACTAGTTAAGCTAAGAGAGATTTCTCCTTAAGGCAGAAGGAGTTCATCACCTTAGGACACTAACCTGAAGACTCGGAGTGGGACATAGATATAAAGAAGGATCCCTAGAGATGTGTCCTAAAAAGTTTTGCCAGTGTGCAATTAAAAAAGGTACAAGCCTACCACCCTGGTGTTTATAAATACTCTGTCCTATAGGTCACGACTGATATGCAGTAATTCTGCACATCTTCTGTTAAAGGTGTGTGTGCATCTGAACTTAGTGTGAAACTAAAGGTTCATAAAAACACACAACACGTGTCATACTTCCCTGCTCTGTGCAATGGTTTTGCACAGAGCTGCCTGAATCTTGTTTCTCTTCTTGGGTCCCCCCCCGGCACTCCTGGCCCCTCCCACCACCTGAGTGCCTCCATAGCAAGCTGCTTGCTTTAGGGGCACTCATGAATGCTTGCTTCCGAGCAGCTTAAGTGCATGTGATTGACAATGGCTCCCACTGCTGTGTTCAAGTCAATGAGGAGGGACAGACCCAGGACAGCAGCTTCTCTTATGCACAACACTGGATCGCAGTCAAGCTCAAGCAAGTATATAAGGGGGACTGAAGGGGGGGGGGGGGGGGGGGGGGGGGGGCAGCTGCACATTCAAGGTTTTTACCTTCAAGTAAAGCTTCAGCCTTTAGAACCACTTTAAAGGGATGCAGACAAGTGGTGCAGAATCATACAGCAGCAAAAAAAACTGTAAAACTTTTACACACATCTTCAGTGGGGGGGGTGTGACATACGAACTCTGGACAACAATATCCAACATAACCAGTTTTTTTGGATACAGTGTTACCCTACTGACCACTGCAGTTCCTCCCACCAAAACGTACATCACAAACGTAAACTGTAGTAACGTAGGAATTGGCAGGAGTAAGCACTAGATTGCTCCTCGCTGGGTCAACACATTCAAAAAGATTCCGATAGTAGTAGTTCGATTTAGCTAGCTGCTCAACAAAGCTCATTGTTTTTACTATAGAATTTAGGAGCAATGTTTAAAGAAAGGAAGAAGTCGGAACATGAGCTATAAAGTAGTTAAAATGCATCAAATTTGCAGAGTTATACCAATCTTCAAGTCATAATGGATTCCCCAACTCTGCCCATTAGCTCCATCATTTGAACATGAAAGGTAGGGTGGGCGTGTTCAGTATACTGTTCAGTTTTCATTCGAAAAACCTTATCACTCATTCTTGAAACGACTGCATAAAGATGATCCTGGTGTGAAGGACCAATCATTTTGTCCAGGGCAGGATTAGTGAGGTAATAGGATCTATTAGGTTGGGAGTGTCTTGCATTCTAATCACGTGACCGTGAACAGCATAGACTACAGTCAACACAAATCATGACCATGGAGTCCTGCAAAGGAGGGAAGAGTGGTCACTCACATGAGGATGTGTAAAAATTGGGGATTCAAGCATGTGCTTTGTGAGCAGAGGCTCTCTTTACATTAGTATATTTCAAAAATAAAATATGAACTTAATTTTAATGCAGTGTTTAAAGGATGTTAACATTTGCCTTCAGAACTACTTTCAACTGTTAATAACTTCACTGTCATAAAAAAAAAAAAAAAAAGTGTGACTAGAAATACCTTAATAGTTGCATCCTCCGAAGCAGTGACCATAACACTAAACACTGGATGGAAAATGACACGGGTGACTGGACTCCTGTGACCACTAAGTGCATATTTTTCTGGAGGACGTGGTATCCATTCTTTGGGGTCCCTCTTCTGTCCTATAGGTCCCCCAGAAGTAAACTCTTCTTTTGCTTCATTCAGTTTGGATTCTAATTCCATAACCTTCAATTAGAAAGTGCAAATCAAATGTTACGACAGTCCATGGGTATTAAGAAAAACATTTTTACCCTATGCCAACTCATAAAACATCAGACTGAGGCAAAAAAAAAAAAAACACTAATTAAAATAACTAAGAACATCAAAATAGATGGATGCATGTTTGAAAATATTTTTTTAGTACAAAATATGGAAAAAAAAAAAAAAAAAGAAATCAGCCCTGTAGATTGATCTACACATTCAAGATGAATACAACAGACATTTATTCAGAGAAACTTCAATTTTTAAGGGGTCCAATGAAATCAAGATTGGGTAAACTCATGTGAAAGCCACGGAAGTTTTTGATACAGGTACCATTCTATTCATATTTCACATTACCTTCTTCTGTAATCTGATAACTGATGTCCATTTCTTTTCCAGTAGACCAGCATACTTTTTATCTAACTCTTCATTCTGAAATGCAAAATAAATGTTGAATAGGAAGGGCTATCCATGTGAAAGGCATCAATGTGCTGAAGAACTCAATCCTGGAAAGAATCTTTTAAAGAATGTAAACCACTTTGGATGTGACCTTAGTTTACCAGAGTTGCTTTACTAATCGTATCAGTATCTATCTCTCATACAGCGCTATTGGTTTTTGTGTAACCACAAAAAACATGCACAACATATCCTCAACAACTATCATATACTCAATCACAAGTACAGCATATTTCACGAAAATGTTCTTTGTGCTTTAATAAAAGTAGCCATGTGCATACAAAAGGGTCAATTCACTAAAGGTTACCACATGCGATAACACTGTCAAGTGACTCATTTGCGTAAAAATACTGCCAAAAAAACCCCATGCAGTAAGCCAAGTCAAGTACAGTTCACAAACAAAACAGAAAGTAAAAAAAAAAAAAAAAAAAAAAGATGCGATATTTATCACCAAGGTTTTTTGCTGGCAATACCAAAATTAAAAAAAAAAAAAAAAAAACAAACCTGGCATGGGATCCCCCCAGATTCATACCAGACCTAAAATCCCATAGAATTGTGAGGGGACGCGCACTTTTTTTTCTTAAATTTATTTTAGTGTGGGGTTCCCCCAAAAACAATACCAGACCCAAGGGCCGTTTTTTTTTTTTTTTACATTTTTATTTTGGTGTGGGTTTTTTTCTTAAAATCCATACCAGACCCAAGGGGGGGGGGGGGTTGAGCCCCACACTTTTTTTCATCATTTGTAATTGCTGGCATGTTTTGTTTACATTCAGCTGTCAGTGGGACATCCGCTGACAGCTGATGAGTCATCCGTTGTAAAGGACGCCACGGCTGGCTTCCCTAACAACCAGCTACTGTGTGATAAACTACCGAATGAAAATATGCATTAATTACCGCAATACAGATATTTTCCTGCAAGAGTTATTTACTGCAAAATTCTTAGTGAATTGCACATTTGCAAAAAATTTCCGCATGCATTATTTTACAACATTTTTTCAGTCATTATTTAAGTCTTAGTGAATTGACCCCAAAGTGTCACCGTGCTTCAAATTATTCACAGTATAATGCAAAATTTCTTATTACAGTGTCCATGCGCAAAAAAAGTGCTCCTCTTCAAACAAATTCCATAGTGTTTCAGTGATCCTCCACCAACACAGAACACCTGCCAGATTTATATGACTACCTATCACAGGTTAGTCATACATCCCATACAGCCAAGCCCAGGAAAGAGTATGCTGATGGTGGTTATCCATGATATTAAGAGTTGTAGGACTAACCTGTGATAGGTATTTTGCTGTGAAATGGATTTTAGCAAGATTTAATCAGAATAGAATAAAGTTGTATAAGTCCCTCAATTCCTAGTATAGAACAGACTTGTGTTTAACTCTTTCGCTGCCAGATCCTTTTTTCTTTTTTTGCACACATTTAAATAAAAAAAAAAAAAAAAAAAAAAAAAAAAAAGTTAATTTAAGGCTTGAAGATTACACAAAATCCCCAAAACATTTTCTGAAAGCAGACGCCCTAGAGAATAAAATAGTGGGAGTTCCAATTTTTTATGTCACATGATATTACCGGAAAGGTTTAATCAATTCATCAAGAATTCAGTAAAAAAAACAAACATACTACAGTAAATTTTAGAGCAAACAAATGCAATAAATGACCTACATTTTTGGTAAAATAGAAGGCGAAGTTTCGTCAAGTAAACAGATACCAAACATGGCCAAACCTTAAATTTGTCTTTGCCTATGAAATGGCATCAAACTTCAGTACGCTATATTTTCTATAGGCGACACTTCAAAAGCCCCTATAGGTCATCAGTTTAGCATTACAGAGGAGGTCTTGTGCTAGAATTATTGCTCTCACTCTTTTACTTAACTTTTTTTTTCATCACATAGGATACAAAAAGTCCCCTATTTGATGATTTTCAGGTGACAGGTTCTCTTTATTGAGACATGCAGGGTCTAAAAGATTAAGGGGGCCCGGTACTGGGCGCTGTGGAAGCGACTGGGCGGCAGTGCAGCCACACGACATGCTTCTTCCTGACAGGCAGGAGTCTGCCTGTCAGTTTTATACAAAATCCAAGTGGCTGCATGATCATAGGAGTGCAGTTTGTTCTGCACTACTGTGACCATTTTTAGCCGACAGCAGGCTACAGCTCGCTCAGCTGGTCCAGGCTCTGGACAGATCCAAACCATATGGTGGGGATCCCTCCAGATGCCTGAACCAGCAACTGGCTCTACCAGGTCTTCTTGCATGACAAACCGCTCGGAGTGCCGACAAGGACAGAGCTAATTCCAGCTCAAAAGATCCAGAAGGGAAAGGGAATCCTAGAAGTCGCACATCACAACAAAACCTTGTGAGGAAGTGTAGGACAGCCTCAGCCTGGGCTCCAAACAGGCCACACCCCCAACATAATTCACTTAACCCCCAGAGCTTAATCATACCCATGAAAGGGGTTGTATAATCCTATCTTACTCTGTCCAAGACATGAAAAAAAAAAAAAAAAAAGTTTTGCCTTAGACTTTTCTCTCAAAAAGGTTCACAGACCGCGATAAAGACCTAAAAAGAGTTCCAACCTTTATGTGGCAAACATTATAGGTGGTAGATACAACACCTAAAGCAGAATTAAAGCATTTTAGGTGGCACTTCAGCCATTTAAAAAGCCATTGCCATTTCTTCCCTGGTGTGGCGGGTATTCTTCCTTGACTGAGTGGCACTCATGTTATGCCTTGTAAGCACCACGCACTGAGCACTGTGAGGCCAGCCTGTGAGACTGTACACCCTCCCAGCAGGGCATATTAAAAGGCTGGGCTTACAGTAAATGGGCCGAATAACGTAAGTGAAGTTATGCTCTAAGATAACTGGCAGTGCTGGACCGTGAAGAAAGCCAGGAACAGCTCCAGAGAATCAGTGCATGTAGAGAGCAAGTAAAACATTGAATGGTTTTTTTTATTTATATTGTAAATACCATGTCCACCCATTTTCCTGCTCATTTATCAACCATCTGTTACTTGCATTAAAAATGTGGCCATCTTATTGAATAAAGGAACACACATGGCAGGACTGGAAGGGCCACACTGTTCGTGCAGTGATGATCTCTGCACTTTATGCAAATGTAGGAGTATAATGACATACTAAGACAGGGGTGCAGAAAGCCTCTGGGCTGAGCAGCCAGCAGAGTTGAAGCCAGGAGTCCATATAGAGTGCAGTAGCTGGGAAACCTACTGTGGTAGACTTCGTTCTGAAAGTCTGAAGTCCGGCTTCCGTCCCCTACACTCCACCGAAAACCGCCCTCCTCAAAATCACCAACGACCTACTAACCGCCAAAGCCAAAGGCGACTACTCTGTCCTCCTCCCTCCTGGACCTCTCCGCGGCCTTCGACACAGTTGACCACCCTCTCCTCCTTAATAAACTACTCTCCCTTGGCATCAGAGACACAGCTCTCTCCTGGTTCTCCTCTTATCTATCCCGACGCTCCTTCAGCGTTTCCTACAATGGTGCCACCTCCCCTTCCCTCCCCCTCTCTGTTGGGGTCCCCCAGGGCTCTGTCCTTGGACCCCTTCTCCATCTACACCTCCTCCCTTGGCAAACTCATACACTCCCACGGCTTCAACTACCACCTCTACGCTGATGACACTCAAATTTACCTCTCCACCCCCCACCTCACCTCCACTTTCTCCGCCCGCATCACTCACCTCCTAAACGACATCTCTGACTGGATGTCGCTCCATTTCCTCAAACTCAACCTCTCCAAAACCGAGCTTCTCGTCTTCCCTCCTGCCCGCGCCCCCCCCCCCCCCCCCCCCCCCCCCCCCATCCTATCCATCACTACTAACATCACCACCATCAATCCCGCCCCGCAAGCCAAAGTCCTTGGAGTCATTCTGGACTCTAACCTCTCCTTCCAACCTCATGTCAAATCACTTACAAAACACATGCAGACTCCACCTCCGCAATATCGCCAAAATACGCACCTTCCTTACCCCAGACACCGCTAAACTACTTGTACACTCCCTGATTATCTCACGCCTTGACTACTGCAACTCCCTCCTCACCGGCCTACCCCAGTGCAGGCTCTCCCCGCTTCAGACCATCCTCAACTCAGCGGCTAGACTCTCATCCACCTCACCACCCGCTCCACCTCTGCCACCCCCCTCTGCCTCTCCCTCCACTGGCTCCCTATCGCCCAACGCATCAAATTCAAACTACTCACTCTGACCTACAAAGCCATTCACAACACTGCCCCTAACTACCTCACCGACCTGATTCCTAAGTACCACCCTACCCGTACCCTTCGCTCTTCACAGGACCTCCTATCTTGCTCCCTGGTCTCCTCCTCACACGCACGTCTGCAAGACTTCTCCAGGTCCTCCCCCATCCTCTGGAACTCACTACCCCAATCCATCAGACTGTCACCTTACCTCCTCACCTTCAGGCGCTCCCTGAAAACCCACCTCTTCAGGGAAGCCTACCCCACCCTCACCTAACTGCTGCTCTCCTTCATTCCTCCTACCACTCCATCCCCCACAGCCACTTCCTCCTGTACCACTACTCCCTCCCTCCTAGATTGTGAGCTCGAAAGAGTAGGGCCCTATAACCCCTCGTGTGCTGTTTGTAGTTGCTGTAATGTTTCATGTATTGTCCCCCCCTCTATTGTACAGCGCTGAGCAAACCCTTTGGCGCTATATAAACTCAATGTAATGTAATGTAATGTCTGCATGCATGCACTAGTGCCTGGAACTTTCAACAAGGGAACACATCATCCTCTTATGTTTTTTTATGCTCTTCAGGTAACGGACGCCACTCCACCGTGCAACATTAAGCCACTTTGCATGCCTGCAATCCACACCTGCTTCACCTTTCACCGTTGGTAACTGATTCCAATCTTCTCAGGAAGACTGGGCTACTTTGCATGGCTGAAATCCACCTTGCCAAGACTTTTCAGACTGTAACTTAATACAAACATGTATAAACA